GTACCGTCAAAGTGTCTAATTCCGGACCAGCAGGGTAAATCCGGACACTACTTTTTTGCATTTTTACAGCAAATTACACAATGTAGGTTCATAAGTTAGATAGATACTTTTCCGCGAGGCTCTGGAGATTTAAATAATTAGTAGTTTCATATTTTAGAGCCGCCCAGAGCAGTGCAATTTTAATAATAGGACCCGACCAGTACACACGCTGTGAAGCGGTACTTTTAATGCGTGTGCCGCATAGCACCAATGCTGGCCACGGTCACTAGATACAGCTTTAACGTCACTACGCTGGAGTCGAAAATTTTTAATATCCTGCGTACTTTTGCGGGTAGTATTGATTGTACGGTATTTCACTCGATCTCTCACTTACAAATCTTAGGTAAAAATGCACTAAATTTTCAATTTTGACAAAGTCCTGTGTGGTAAAGATTGTTGTACACATTCTTATGGCGTATTTTGCGAAACCAATGCCCTTCTACTAAAATAGCACTGACTTTTGCAGAAGTTGCTTAACTTCTGAAATGGACCAGTTTTGCCTCGAAAATTTCAATATCACTCTAGTTCCGCAGTTACGGGTTAAGTTGGTGTGTACTGGCACGTAGCTGCAGTGCAGTATTGGCATATCGACCAGTTCTAGTGCCATTTAATAGCAAAAATAGGGACTGTTCGGATTTGCCCCGGCTTCGGGTTTAAATCCAGACGGGGTTTCAGAGGCTTGTGCAGGTGAACTGGCGCAAAGAAAATTTCCTCTCCAGATGGAAAATATGTATCTTGGCGCCTAGTTTCTAGAATCCGCTGGAATTTTTCATAACCCTACCGGTTTTAGAAATATTGATGAAAAACGGTCAAATTTGTCCGGAATATGACACTTTGACGGTACCAAGAAACTGGAGGCCATGGCCAGATACCTGATAGTGAGTTGTTGCTTCTTTTCTTCAGATCCGTATTCCTGAGTTTTTTCAGCTTGCGACGCCGACCGCAGAAATATTGATTTACTGGGGTAAACATGGCGTGTTTAGAATTATTGTTGGAGAACAACCAAAGTTGTGGCACACATGCAGGGAATACAGGGTGTTCCACAGACCCCTTCCTTTATTTTGCTGATACTGTACCACATGCAGGCGTGCGGACGGGCTTGCCTACCGTCGCTCACCACGGCGCCTTGTAGCCCCGTGCGAGTCTGCAACCCGGTAGCACGCCTGCATCCGGCACAGTTTAGGCAGAAGCAAGTAAAGGGACGGGTCTGTGGGCGACCCTGTATAGCTCTTCCCGCCGAGCGCAGCGCCTTGCAGCGACCTGCGCTTTTGAACCACGGTGATGCCCGCAGGATGATATTCGGCGCTGCGAGGAGGAGATTGAGCTCATCCCAGAAGAGCTGAGAGATCGAATCCGCAGGAATTCGGAGATACTCCAACTAGTGCGAACGGAACTGGAGCGAAAGAAAGGTACTTATTCTTCAGTGACATCAATGTTCCTACTGTACCTCTATGGCAAGCATTGCGCGTGGATTCGCGTTGAAATTTAGGACTCGGTAACTTATTACCTAGCGTTTTCTTCACGAGGGCGATGGTTTGACCTTGTTCTTCCCTCATCTTGTTCTTTAAAATCGTCAGAAATTTGGGTAATTGTTAACTTCAGTGACTCCTCGCTCTGGAGTCAATCAAGTATACCATCGAAAAGGTATTTTTCAGTAGAATCCTGAACAGTATTTATATATTGGCGCTCGAGTCTGGTTTTCCTCAAAATTAAATAAATATGCGTCACCGCTAACCTTCAGATGCACTTTGAAGACGGCAGAATAACTTACGTTTATGGGCAGTCCTGACGTTGATCGCTCCGGCTAGGGTTTTTAAATCATTGCTCCTGCATCAAAGACTACGCCTGATTCATAATATCAGGCTTTCTTTCTCTACCGTTGCTGAGATCACAGTTTTCACACATCTCCAAAAATGCTCTCTGCTTGGCGTGGTCCTACCCAGAAAGGGGGCCGAGTGCTGTCACGTGCGAGCCTACGTACCGGTGAGGCACTCGGGCGGACGGCGGGCTCGGTTGCCAACAACAATGGGCAGTTCAGAGGGGCGCAGGCGCGGGTTAACAGTGGTACCAATAGAATGTAGGAAGATTGTGGCTGCCCGTCCTCTAATGAATTTTCCCTTCTTTTTAACTATAAATATTGCGTTGGACGTTCCGATAAGTGGCTGTTAGCTGCCCGTTTTCGAATAAATTTTCCCTTCTAACCGGCCGTCTCCGAATGATTTTCCCTTCTATGGAGCACGCCTTACTATTCAGCATCCTGACCTAGATGCGAATAAGAGGAGCTCCGGAACGATCTTGAGCGGGTCAGTGCGCGCCGACA